TCAGCTGTAAGAATTCTCTGGTTTTATGTCTGTAGCATGAATGTAAAAAAGCTGGCATCCAGCACCGGTTTGGGATGCAAGTCTTTGTGGTTTGCTTAGTCTGATATTTATCACTGCTGTTGTAGGTTACCCTAGATTGCCCTGCAAGTTAAGCATGTGCTCAAGTTGTAGGTTACTTTAAAACACCTCATCAATGAGGCACCAAGGCAGAGAGATGCCATTCTGTGTGTCTCCATTATAACGCAGTCTGTAATTACATGAGCACACACTGTGTTTTATACCAGGTCCCTTTATTGTGGATTGCACCACATACTCAATATTTCTTTTCATCTAGGTCCTTCAATGTGCAATGGTAATGTAAGATGTGAATCAAGTCTCAGGACCCAATAACTCTGTAAGATTGGGAGCCCTGAAGTGGAACAGTGAAGAAGAAAGGTCAGTACTGTGATAGTGGCACAGAGACACCTGACTTCTATTCCCTGTTTTGTTACTGGTTGACTTCACCTCTCTGGACCTCAGTTTCCTCATCTCTACAATGGAGTTTCTTGAGACCCCTGTTGTGAATGGCTGCTTTGATCTCTTATTGCCCGGGGTACCCTTGTTTTGTAGATTTCCATATACCAGCACTCTGAAGTCTGATCTGTCAATTATAGAAAGCAGAGAAAGCATATGGTGTCCATTCCTACAGGGTGCTGGGCATTTCCTGTGAAATGCTGAGCACCCTCAGCTCTCAGTGAAGCCAGTGGGAATTATGGGTACTCAGTGTCCTGTAATGTCAAGCCCGAGGTAAGCATGATTGTGGGTGAACACAGCCTGGTCTGGGGCAGCACCTGGCAGATACATCTTATTTCCCAAGAACTCCACCAGATTCTCTGTTCATTTAATTCATTGATACCCTATTAGTCGTCGTGAGAGCAGAATATGCAGAGTGCCAGCTCTTCTACAATTAGGCTTGGGAGGATTCAATTTTTATTGGTAAATGTCAGTAAATGTCGATTTCCCCATACACACACTGAAGAAAAATATATTTCCATCGAGAATAATCGAAATGTGCAGACAGGCAAAGTAAGAAAAATGCTGCTTGAAAACTTATTGGAGTTTGACTTCAGGATATTTACTTTGTATATTTTGACATGTGAGTTGACAATTTGTGTTTTAATGGTTTATAAAATTTTAACTTTTTAAATCTCAATATCTGCTGTCATTAAACAATTGTCTGACCTCCCATAATTTTACATGACTATGAAAATCAGAAATTCAAAATAGTGTTTAAAACTGAACATCAATATTATCCATCAAATTATATTTTTTAAATGAATTCTGCCAAGTCTAGTTATAATTAGGGTTGAGCTTCACTTTCTCTTTAAAGATGAATCATTCTAAATGGTTACAAATTTTCCCTGGCTCGTGGGGCAGTTAGGTAACATTAGGGTTCCAAATCTGAACCAGAGGGTCCAGAGATACAGGCCCCCACCACAAGCAACAGCATTTGCAAAATCAAGTTCTTCTAAGGATTCTTTTTTCCACACAACTGGGGCTCAGATTATGGCTCGGATCTACCCCAAACTTATCTTTCACTCAGGATTTAATTTGAGGTTGCAGAAACAAACCATCCAGATGTGTAGAAATAATAGTAAATATGGCAGGCAACCAGCGTGGCTTAACAGTGAATCCTCACTGATCTTAAATGCAAAAAAAGAAGCTTACAAGAAGTGGAAGATTGGACAAATGACCAGGGAGGAGTATAAAAATATTGCTCAGGCATGCAGGAGTGAGATCAGGAAGGCCAAATAACACTTGGAGTTGCAGCTAGCAAGGGATGTTAAGAGTAACAAGGAGGGTTTCTTCAGCTATGTTAGCAACACAAAGAAGGTCAGGGAAAGTGTAGGCCCCTTACTGAATGGGGGAGGATGTGGAAAAAACTAATGTACTCAATGATTTTTTTTACCTCTGTCTTCACGAATAAGGTCAGCTCCCAGACTACTCCACTCGGCAGCACAGTACAGGGAGGAGGTGACCAGCCTTCTGTGGAGAAAGAAGTGGTTCAGGGCTATCTCGTTTGAAGCTACCACTCCTCCCACTTCCCCTCCCCTGCTCCTGTCTAGCCTGGGTGGGGGGGGGGAGGAGAGATGCCTCTTATTCACAGCCCCATTGCTCAGGGCAATGGCCGGGAGACAGAAAGGGACACACCTCAGATAAAGGGGGGAAGAGGGTGGCAGCAGCCCCAACCCCAGTCAGGATCTGGAGGACCCTGCTCCTCTGGGGGTGTTTCTGCCCCCCATGTGTGAGCCTAGTCCGCGCACTTCCACTGACACCACCGACAGGATTCGGTGCTGAAATGAGGTGTCCTTGATATCTTAAAGTGCGGCTGCACCTATCCTCATGCTACAGCTCTGATCACAAGCTGTTCCAGCTAATCCCCTACCATAAACAGAGGTGGATCAGACTGCTAGCTTAGTAGTTTTTTTAAAAACCAATTCTATAGGGGTATTATTTAAATTAGGAATGGAGTGAAACCTGGCAGGAAGAGAAGTCAATCAAAGACATGTTAGAAAAGGTGAAGATAGCTGATAAGTGGCTGAGCTGCTAACAAAATATATAGTCTATATTGTACTATATGACTGGAGAGTAGCAAATAGAGACAGCTGCTTGGGAATTTTCCATCAAACAGTTTTTTGACAGAAAATTCAGTTTTGTCTGAATCAAAATTTTCCACAGGAGTTTCAGCCAAACATTTTCAATGTTTTTCCTGATGGAAAATTGGAATGAAATATTTTGTTCTGGATCAGGATGATTTGAAATGAAAATATCAGTTTGTCAAATCCAGTCAAAACATTCAATTTCAGGGCAGTTGGATGTCCATGTGCATCCAACTGAGCAGCCATGATACTTTGAGGGATCTGTAGTTCAGATGCCTCGTGCTTTCATTCTCTTCTGTGGGCTAGGTTCACGGGCTGGACTACATCTCCCATGATGCACTGAGGACTCCCTTCTGGTTGACTCATTCAAAAATTCATAGATTCCAAGGCCAGAAGGGACCACTAATCCTCTAGTCTGACCTCCTGTATAGCACAGGCCAAAAAACTTCCCCCAAATAATTCCTATTTGAATTAGAGCAGATCTTGTTAATAAAAATACCAATCTTGATTTTAAAAATGTCAGTGATGGAGAATCCACCACGACCCTTGATAACTTGTTCCAATGGTTGATTACCCTCACTGTTAAAAACGTATGCCTTATTTCCAGTCTGAATTTGTTCAGCTTCAGTTTTCAGCCATTGGATCTTGTTATACCTTTCTCTGCTAGATTGAAGAGTCCATTACCAAATATTTGTTCCCAAGGTAGGTACTTATAGACAGTAATCAAGTCACCCATTAACCTTCTTTGTTAAACTAAATATATTGAGCTCTTTGAGTCTATCTCTATAAGGCATGTTTTCTAATCCTTTGGTCATTCTTGTGTCTCTTCTCTGAACCTTCTCCAATTTACTAACATCCTTCCTGAACTGTGGTCACCAGAACTGGACACAGAATTCCAGCAGTGGACGCACCAGTTCTAAATATAGAGGTAAAATAACCTCTCTACGCCTAGTCGATATTCTCCTGTTTATGCCTCCATTGCAGTACATCAGATGAGATGTAATCCAGCCAGAAAGTCCAGCTCAGAGGAAAATGGGAGCATGAAGCACCCACACTACAACTCCCATGAATCACTGAAGCAGCTCAGGGGGAGAGAGTTTAACATCTAACCTACCCAAAATGAAATGTTTCAATGTGGTTTAAGAAAAACACACCCCAAAATGTATCAATCTGAGAATGTTTATTATTAGGAGGAAACAGGTAGGCACATGCCTGTGGAAGAGAATCTAGATCTTCTGTCTCCCACTCCTTTGCCTTAACACTAAAACCATCCATCATTCCCATGCATAGAATTTCACATAATGAAATCGCTTTCATTTAACCTCTTGCAGGAGAGCTCCTCTTCAAGCAGAGAAATGGACAATGGGACAGTGGTGACCGAATTCATCCTTACGGGACTTTCCAATTGCCCAGCCATTCGCTTCTCCCTTTTTGTTGCCTTTCTGTTGATCTACTTGATAACCCTCTCTGGCAATGGCCTCATCTTCATAGCCATAGGGACTGAGGCTAAGCTGCACAACCCTATACACTTTTTCCTCAGCAACCTCTCCTTGTTAGACATCTGCTGGCCCACTGCTACCATGCCCGAGATGCTGGAAAACTTCTTGTCAGAGAGCAACACAATTTCCTTCACTGGCTGCATGCTTCAGCTCTATTTCCTGGTGGCTCTAGCAGGGATGGAGGTTTTCCTCTTGGCGGTGGTGGCCTATATGGTGATGGCCTAGATGGCCTGGAGGATGGTGTGGATTGCACCCTTAGCAAGTTTGCAGATGAGACTAAACTGGAAGGAGTGGTAGATATGCTGGAGGGTAGGAATAGGATACCGAGGTACCTAGACAAATTAGAGGATTGAAACTCCTAAGATTTAGGTTGGATATTGGGAAAAAACTTTTTCACTAGGAGGATGGTGAAGCACTGGAATGGGTTACCTAGGGAGGTGATGGAATCTCCATCCTTAGGGTTTTTTAAGGCCCGGCTTGACAAAGCTTTGGCTGGGATTACTTAGTGGGTATTGGTCATGCTTTGAGCAGGTGATTGGACTAGATGACCTCCTGAGGGCTCTTCCAACCCTAATATTCTATGATTCTATGTACGCAATGGATCTGGTCAGAAAATGAGGGTGGAAAAACACTAAAATGTTCATGATTTCCACTCTCACCCTGTTTTTAATCCAAACCTCATTTGACCAATATTTTCCAACCATCTCTGTTACACCTTAGTGTAGTACGAAGATGTGACTATGAAGAACATTCTAGACATGGCTAATTAACTGAGTCAGACAAACCAGATTATTAGGGCTGGTCAAAAAAATTTCATAAACTTTTTTTCAGAGAATTGGGCGTGTGATTAAATGATTTTTTTTTAATGAAAAGTATATGCTTCTCGCAAATTACTGATTTTTTCATCAGAAAACTGAACCCCCTGCCAAAACCCCAAACTTTTGGAGGGTCGAAGTTTTTGTCTAAAAATGTTTGTTTTCAGCAGATGGCGGCCAAATATTGTTCAGTTTTCAGCTTTGGGAGGTTTGGGAGGGGTATCTATTTTTTTGTCAAAAAAAGTCAACATTTTCCCTTGGGGGGGGGGACAAAAACATGTTCTGACCAGCTGTATAGATTTGTTTGTCAAAATCTATTGTGATATGGTGAGTAATGATAGGTTGATGTTGGGTGATTGTTCTGTATTTCCAAAGTCTCATATATGATATTTCAAAAAAAAAAATCTATTATTTGATCCTTTGCACCCAGAAGGCTGAGATTTTTCAGAGGTCCCTAGAAAATGTGGATGCCTCAATTCCCATCAGTTTTCAGAACTGGGCTTCCAAATTCCTTAGGCAGCTTCAAGAATTTCAACAATTGGCTTCTCCACATTTATGCCGCTATAACTGAGTCTGCAGTTAGAGTGGTACATTTTCACGCTTTGCGCCCGGGCTTAGGCATCCAGACGCCTAGAATGGAGCAGCAGGGCGCATGCTCAGAGATACAAACATCAGTACATAGGGAACGTTCACTTCCAAAATTTAGGTGCCGACTCCAAGCGACATCTACAGGGTTCGGCAGCAACTGAGTGGGGGAGGGTTGTGAATTGCAGTGGGGCCTAGAACTGGTTCATATTACCTCTTCTTTGGGGCAAGGGAAGAGCTAGGGACTCTCGGGGACAAAATCTGTCTCCTGGTCTGCTCCTTGGGCAGTGTTTGCACTTCCCCTTATGCAGGGTTTAGGACAGAGTACTTCTTGTGAGTTCACTCCCATTTGCGTTTCTTTTCTTTGAGTGGCCCAGCAAATAGGCTTGTCATTAGCCGTGTCTCACAAACAGTGAATTTGAAGCAAATCGCCCAGCATTCATGGAAAGAGACTCTGAATTCAAAGCATTGGGTATGCCCTGAAGATGTAGGACCTCACTGTCAAAAGAAATGGGGCAGGGTGAATATAAAGGCTATGGTAAAAGTTATAAGGTCCAGCATGTGGGTGTCACTTCAGGAGAGGTTGTCACTGAGATTTAATCAGTGAAAACCAATTGTAACATCATACCCATTAACATGGAAGTAGCCAGAAATCTGCTCATCCAAGACCAGCTGCTAGCTGGAGGCAGAACCTGCCATTCATAAGGGCTGCATAATGCAAGGGATTATATATCACTAAATATTGATCATAAGACATTGTAGCTAGAAGAGAGCATTCAGCACCTGCCAGAGAATCAAAAGCATAAAATTGGATGATGCAGCTGCTAACAGAAATGGGTCTGTCCCCAGTTAGAAGATTGGCCAACATTCTGGGCAAGATGGGCAAAGTGTAGCAGATCTCCAAGCAGAAAGAAGTACATAGGTGTGTGAAGGTTCTGATCACCCACAAGTAGCGCAACAACGAGGATGTTCCCAGCCATGGTCTCAATGTAGATCACTAGAAGCCGCAAGAAGAGAAGAACCTTCAGTTTTTGGGTATTCCTGGATCCCAGGAGGATGAATTCTCTGACGGACATTTGATTTCCCCATTCTGCGTCTGCTATGGCTTGTATCTAGTGGAACCAAACAAACTCTGCAGTATAATTAGGAGAACATAGAATTAAACGTTAATACATTGGCACCACTTAATTCTATACTTGTTCTAAAACCTACCTCCTCCTTTTGGCTAGCAGTGTAAGGACTATCTGGAGAATCCAGACCAGGGCTTCAAACTGGATTTGATATTATGGAGAGTGGATTAGATTCTATTTCAGATAAAATCATAATTACAGAACCATGCACTACAGCCTAAATCCTACAGAAATATTGAAATCCTAGGCATGAAATAAAACCAGTATAAACCTCTCATCTCCGCCATCTTTTCATGCACAATTTGGGACCTTACAATCCCCTATCCCCATCCTCTGCCACCCTAGATTGCCCTGCAAGTTAAGCATGTGCTCAAGTGTTGTGCTGAATTGGGCTCTAAATTACTAGCAGTTTCCTGGGGGCAGCTACCATTTTGTGCTCACTTCTAAAATAAAATTACTGAGGCGATACACACACTGTGCTCTCTGTTGTGGAGACTTTATTTTTCTTCCTTCTTCTGTTGCTGGGATTTAATATAAAATAAAAAGTTTGCCTTTAATATAAAATTAAAAGTCATTGAGATTTTCAAAGCTGTCTAAGGGATTCAGTCATCCAATTCACAATAAAACCAGTGAGAACTGTGTGTCCAAATTCTCTAGACAGCTTTAAAAGGCTCAGCTGCAAAGTATATGCTTACTCTTTGTGTATGGGAAACAGAAAAAAGGTCAAAGTCTTAGACGGGACTTCAAGATCACAGGTCAAGGCAGGGGAATTAGGGGCAGGATTGCTGCTGAGGTTGGTGAGCTTTGGGAAATGTTTTTAATTATGGTTTTATTTTTGTCTTTTATATTTCTTTATAACAGGCAGTAGCTTCATGGAGCAGTGGAATGTTATGCTTTGTGGACAAGTAGTTGATAAATTGAAGAGGTTCAGAGAAGAGCCACAAGACTGATTAAACGATTAGAAAACCTGCTTTATAGTGATAGGCTCAAGAAGCTCAATCAATTTATTTTAACAAAGGGAGGGTGAAGCAGTGACTTCATTACAGTTTGAGTACCTACATAAAGAAGCAATATTTAATAATGGGCTCTTCAATCTGTCAGAGTAAGGTACAACACGGTCCAGTGGCTGGAAGTTGAAGCTAGACAAATTCAGACGGGAAATAAGGTGTAAATTTGTAACAGTGAGGGTGATTACCCATAGGAACAATTTACCAAGGGTTATGGTGAATTCTCCCTCACTGACGGTTTATAAATCAAGATTGGATATTTTTTCTTAAAGTTCTGCTCTAGCAATTATTCTGGGGGAAGTTCTCCGGCCTGTGTTATACAGGAGGTCAGACTAGATGATCACCATGGTCCCTTCTGACCTTGGAATCTATGAAACTTGAGAGGTGGCAGATCTCTGTTCAAATCCCTTCTCCCTGTGAGGCAGAGGGGGGACTTGAACCAGGGTTATCTCATACCCCAGCTACATAGCCTAACCACTGGGCTAAAAGTTATTAGGGAGGTCCTCCTCCTCCCCCCACTCCAGCCCATTCTTGCTTTGCATAAGCTCGCCTATAAGGGCCCAATCCGGTAGGTGAGCTCTGACCATGTTTACCAAATTGGGCCCTGCAGACAAATGAGGTGGAGGACCGCTTATCTTCCCCCAGCTCGTGCATCGCTCTGGGGCTCAGTCTGGCTGGCGTTGTGCTCCGGAGCATATGCCCAGAGGCAGAAATGGAGGCACTTTGGGAACTTTTACTGCAAAAAAGTAGAAGCCCATGGAGTTTAGGCACCAACAGGGTTTGACGGCAGTTCAGCAGAAGTTTTGTGAATCCCAGAGGGGGCCTGATTCTGGGATCTTCAGGGGCCTAAAGCAATAGTTAGGTACCTAAGTGCCTTTGTGAATCTAGACCCTTTGGATTTTGGCCCTTCCCTGTTTAAGCGCTTTTGAAAATCTCACAAGTGGCCTCTCTGCATCTTTATGCTCTGAAATACCTTTGAAAAGCTGACCCCTATCTCTGGGTGCGTCTGCTCCCTGTTTGCAATATGGGGATCACAGCACTGCCTACATCACAGGGGAGTTGTGAGACTAAAGAAATGGTATGAGGTGCTTACTCCTATGAAGGCCATAGAAGTACCTCAGAGAGAGAGAGAAATAGTGAGGTTCCTCATGGGTAATAAGTTCAAAATCAGCGATTTAAGGACTTCAGTCCCATATTCAAAAAGTTTTGGGGATTCCTGTCTTCCAAAGCAGACACTTCCGTTGAAGCATTAGCTTAATTGGAAACCCAATTTTCTAGTGAAAAAAGTTTTGATGGAAAATTTTCCACCATCCCTTGTTCAAAACAGCTGTCCCTGGAAACTTTGACCCTGACTATGAAGCCGTATATTCTCCACCCCAAAGAGAGAAAAAAATTTCTTTGTCTCATCTACGAGTCTCTTACGTTTCAAGGATTCAATGCACCAGGGAACCTGTCTCAGTGGAGGCATAAAAAAACTTAAATACTCAGACTCCTCAAGGCTTGGTTTCTTCAGAGTTGCTCAACACGCTATTCGCTCAGCTGCACGTAAGTTTTAAAGCACATGATTATATTAGATTAGAATTTTTTTTTTTAAAGTCAATGTGTTTTCTACACGTTATTGCTTTTTAACCCAGCACATCGGTGCATATCTTTAGCGTGGTCCTTTTTCTCCACTGCTTTGTACCTTTTGTGTAGTCATTTCCATGTGAGCAATGTGAGTGCTGAATGGGTATAGAAACACTCCTTCCAGTACAAGTGGGTAATTCTGATATGGAGTCATTTTGCACTCACATTGCATTGGTACAAATGACTACACATGGCACAAGGGAGCAGGGAGTCAGCCGCTGGTGTGTTATTCCTCTCCCCTTACAATGTTGTTATAGTAAGGAATAATACAAAGCATTATAATTTATAGCTGGAATTTTCAAAGGAACCTCAGGGAGTTACTTACCCAACTCCCCCTGAACTTAGGATAGTTCTATGCCTGAAAAAAATGCAATCAGGGTATTGGCTGCTAAGTATAGTTTTAATGGGTGCTCTATGAAAACGATAGATAGATAGATAGATAGATGCAGTGTTTGTTGTAGCCATGTCAGTCCCAGAATATTAGAGAGTCAAAGTGGGTGAGGTAATATTTTTTATTGGACCAACTTCTGTTGGTGAGAGAGACAAGCTTTTGAGCTTATGCAGAGCTCTTCTTGAGGTCTGGGAAATGTACTTAGGCTATGTCGATGCTATGGACCTTACAGTGGCATAGCTGTGCTGCTACAGCTGTGCCGCTGTAAGGTCTCCCGTGTAGCTGCTCTTTGCTGACAGAAGAGAGCTCTTCTGCTGGCAAAATACAACCACCCTAACAAGCGTCAGTAGCTTTGTCAGCAGGAGAGCGTCTCCCGCCAACGTAGCGCTGTCCACACTGGCGCTTTTGTCAGTAAAACTTTTGTCGGTCAGGCGTGGATTTTTTTTTTTCACACCTCTGACCGACAAAAGTGCTAATGTAGACAAAGCCAGAGAGTGTCATAGATAAATACAAGGTGGAACTGATTGTTTAGCATAAGTAGTTAACACATATTTCAAGGGACCATTCAAGTTCCTTCGGAACTTGTCCTTTCTGGAAATCGGTTATACCTCGGCTACTATCCCCAAGATGCTGGTAATAAGCAGAGGACAAGAGTATTTCCTTCCTGGGCTGTGCCACACAGATGTATTTCTTCTCCTTCTTGGGGATCACAGAGTGTTGCCTGCTGGCTGCCATGGCATATGACCGTTACATGGCCATATGTCACCCTCTGCGCTACACAACCATGATGAGCAGAGGTGTGTGTCTCCAGCTCTCAACTGTGTCCTGGCTCATCGGGGTGCTGGTGGGAGTTGGGCAGACAACTTTCATGTTCACTCTGCCCTACTGTGGGCCTAATAGGATCAACCACTTCTTCTGTGACCTACCCCCGCTGCTGAAGCTGGCCTGTGCAGATACTTACAGGAATGAAATAGCTGTTTTCATCATCGCTGTCACCTTTGTCACGGTCCCCTTCCTGCTCATCCTTGTATCCTACGTCCGTATCCTCCACGCTATCTTCAGTATTCCGTCAGCCGCGGGCAGAAGCAAAACTTTCTCCACCTGCTCCTCCCACCTCATTGTGGTGACCTTGTTTTTCGGGTCCAGCATTGTGATGTATCTGAGACCCAAATCCCGCTACTCACTTAACACTGACAAACTTCTTTCCCTGTTCTACTCAGTGGTGTCTCCAATGCTGAACCCTTTGATCTACAGCCTGAGGAATAAGGAGGTAAAGGAAGCCCTGAGAAGGGTGATGGCCAGAAAAATATTTATTTGAAAACTTGGGGGAAGGGGTGGAATTTATTATTTTAATATTCTTGTGATGGATTTGGAGTTGCCTGTTGTAGCCCTATCTATGACTTGTATTGATTACTTAAGAATTCCCAGTTATCACTCCGAGATATTGATGGTTCTTGTCCCAAGATCAGGCCCAGTATTATTAACATTACTGTTCAGTTGGGAACGCTGATGTGCATGGTTGCAACACTCACACTTTAGGAACCCTTCTGTCTTTGTAATAGTTTATTACTACACTCTAACACAGCAAGGTAGACCGAGATAATACAGACTGTACATCTGAACATCCATATACTCCCACCATCTCTTGCAGAACAACCGGAAATGTTAGCCATTATCTTCCGCTTCATCATCACCTTCCTCATCATCAGCAGTGGCCATTGTTCTGGCATCTCCCAAGGGCTCCATCTCTCTCTCCCCTTGCATACAGACTGGGATACAACTTTTATAATATGTTACGTCAGGAGTAGTCAATAGGTGGACTGCGGGCCAAATCCGGACCGCCAGACGCTTTTGAATGGACCGCAAAATCTTTTAAATTACTTGTTGTTATTATTGTTACTGTGGTGTGAAAAATGTTTCTCTGGAGTCTGGACCTTGCCTTTATGTTGCCTAAGAAATTTGGACCTTGACAAAAAACAATTAACAACCCGTCTTACAGGATACAGGCCTGTAGGTTCCTTGCATTACTGCTGAATAAAATAAATGCTAAAGCGAGCTCTATGGGTTACCCTGTAGCAATCTGTGAATACTGTATGATGTTTGTCTGAATATTGTAAAGATGTTTTTGTATGCACATATTGGGTTAATTCAACAGCTGGGTATTCAGGAAATGACCCAGGAAGATGGACAATAGCTCAGAGAAGAGCTCCTCTGCAAACACCAAGGACAATTAACTGTGACATGCTACCTCTGCCCACCCATGGCGGATCTGCTAGCCCAGCTTTCCCAGGACTGCATCCCTCCTGACTAGAGGAGAGCCTGGTTCGCTGAGATGGTTTAGAGGATGCAATTGCCTCCTGACCTCCAGAGGCTGGGGGGTTCTTCGAGGAAGTATAGCCTGCCTTGTCTCTTGCTGTGCTGTGTTCCTACTGTTAAGATTAAACAACACTGTTTAATCTTAACAGATCTTAAACACTGTTTAATCTTAACAGAAGGCTGATTTGGGTCACCATTATCACCGCAGGTCACTGGTCCCCAAGTGGACATGCACTTGTACCAAGTCCAGTCAGCCCTGCTGAGTAATGCTGGATGATTTTAAATTCAGTTTAGAAAGAGCTCAGCAGACCCTGGCTTGCCAGACCTCAGGCACTGATTGTCAAAGTTCTCAGATTTACTGAGAAAGAAAAATAATAATGCAGCCAGCTCTTGGGGGAGGGGGGTGAAAGAGCAGCTTTGGGGGATGCCACAAAATGAGATAATGATTTTTTCAAGGTTTTGCAAAAGATGTGGTTGAAGAGAGATCAGCTTTCAGAAGAGCAAGGGAACCTGCCAAGCAGCGAGGGCTCAAATATTTGATAAAGTTTCAAGTCAGGGTTGGCGAGGAGGTGCATCAGTTCCAAAAGTCACAAGACTCTGAACATTTTCTATCTAGCCTATAATGAATCGAGTCCCTGTTCTGTTCTAAACCACATTTACGTGGCCTCCATTGATGATATCACAATCTTCAGAAATTCCTGAGAAGGTCATAAGGACCGCAGAGGAATTGTGCTGAAGAGACTCAAAGGGTTTGTCCACTGCAAAGAAAAACCCATGGCTGGCCCGTGCCAGGTGACTTGGGCTCACGGGGCATGGCTTGTGGGGCTGTTTCATTGCAATGTAGACTTCTGGGCTCGAGCTGGAGCCCAGGCTCTGGGACCCTCCAATCTTGCAGGGTCCTATAGCCTGCGTTCCAGCCTGAGCCTGGAAGTCTACACTGCAATTAAACAGCTCCAGAAGCCCAAGTCAGTTGGCACGGGCCAGCCGCGGGTGTCTAATTGCTGTATAGACATACCCAAAGATGCAGGTCTCACATTAAAAGTGTCAAAGTGCAAGATAGGGGCGGCCAAAGTCCCTTATCTAGGCCATTGGCAGGAGGGGGCCAGATTTGCCAGAATCTCTTAAAAGTGGACTCCATTGTTAACAGGCCTGTACCCTGAACCAAAAAGCAAATTCACTCTTTTAGAGGCTTGCTGAGTTATTACCAAAGACTCATGGAAGGTTTCAGCAACATTGCGACTGATGACAAAAAGACCTCTGCAAAGAGACACCGCCTGCCAAGGTGGTTTTGACCACAGCCTGTCAGGAGGGCTTTGCTCACGTGAAAAGAATTTGTCAGTGACACTAGCTCTAGCTGGTCCAAATTTGAATACAATGTTTGAACTCTGCACAGATGCATCAAGTACAGGCCTAGGAGCCGCACTGATGCAAGCGGGCAAGGGCAATAAGAAGCATCCTATTGCTTTTTTTAAGTAAAAAACTGACCCATCACTGAACAAAATTACTCAGTCATCAAAAGGAAATATGCAATTGTGGGGTAACTAAGGCTATACCTACTGCACAGGAAGTTTCGAGTCCTAACAGACCATTCTCCACTGGCAGGGCTTCACAGAACATAAGTTACCAGCTCCAGACTACAATGCTGGAGTACAGACATTCATGAGTATGATATGGAAACTGCACACATGAAGGGCAAGGAAAATGTGTGACAGAAGCAATGTCCAGGCAAGAGGGTTCTAAGCCAATGCATGTGGATTAGTCAATGGCTAACCTTAATGCCTCAGCGAGAGCATGGGAGGTGTGATCCAGGAATCCCGCGGTGCCAAGCAGCAGAGGGCATAGGGGTTGCCTAGGGTTTTATGGGAAACCCCGCGGTTGGATATCTGCATAACTCTTCACGGAATGGTGGCATGTGAGGTCTCTACCAAGAGCCGGCAGCCCACTAGGCATCCTAATCAGTGTGAAGTGTGAGTGCGGATAATATTAAAGGAGTTGTGTGTCCATACTCAAAACAATGTCCTAAAGGTCTTGGCATTAAGGTAGGTCGCATGGGTCGGAGGTGTTCCTTCCAGGCAGGGTGTAACTGTGACCTTAAGAGCCACTTAGTCAGCAAAGGGCCCTCTAGACTGTAACTCACAGCAGGCCTGACACACTCACTACACCTAACACACTGTTGTCATCTTGCGTATCTAAGGGGTGTCACGTTAGATATTGTATGCAAAACGGTGATGCTGGTCCCAAAAATCATTGTGTTCTGTGTGTATGGGTTGTGTATAGCGAGTTATGTATATGTGTGGGAAATATGTTCTTAAAATGGGGTTTGGAGGCTGAGCATAATCCAAGTCTGCCCTAGACAAAGGAATATGGATTTACCTGTCTGATCAGCTTAATTACAGGGAGAGAACAATGAAAGGACATTTACATATAAGGTAAACAACGCAATCAAGCTAATAAGTGGCGGAGGAAACAATGTAGTGAGCACACTGGGGGTCTGAATCTGCACCCAAAGGAAATCTTTTTAGCTCGTGAGACAGACAATGGACTTTGGAAAATATAAGTGGGAGCAAAAAGCCGTTCTAGTCATCCCTCACTTAGGGGACAAAGGTAACAGCACCCTCTGATTCTGTGAAAGTTGGATCCCTGGCCTGGAGGGCTAAAGATGCTGGTAACTTGATGTGAGTGAGAAAACTGCGTAGGCAAAGATTGTAACTTATTCAGATTTAAGTTTTAGCCACTAGAAAACATGGTTTGGTTTGTTTGTAACCAGACCTGTATCTTTTTCTCTTGCTTAGTATCATTTAAATTTCTGTTCTTTGTTAATAAACGTATCCTTAGTTTTACTATAAACCAATTCAGTGCTGTGATATTGAAGTGAAGTGTGAGTCTTCCGCTAAACTAACAGGCTGGTGTGTGCGCTGCCTCTTTGGAATCAGTGAACTCAATAATTTCTGAGTGTGCAGTGACAGGGACTGGACACTGCAGGGATATGTCTTTGGGGAACTCAGGAACTGGAGTTCGCTGATGGCTACCTTCAAGGCAAGGTTTAGACTGGCAGAATCTTGAGGAGTTTGCTGTGAAGCTGGCAGACGGGTGTGGGAGGGAGCAACACACAGTCTAATCTCCAGCAAAGCTCACTCTTGCTAAAGCAGAGGGGTGACATAGTGGCTTAGGGTTCTGGGTTCCCTGAGCAGAGCGTCACAGTAACAGACCCTTATCTCCCTATCTGGCCAGGTGTGCACTTTGTATTGTACCCTCTCGGTGTATTGCATACTGAGCCAGATGCAAATTGAGAGATTGCAAAATCTACAAAGGAAATCTGCAGGGTGAAACAAAGAGTGGAGGGGTGTCCTGTTTGTGAATAGGATCAAAGAATTAGTCTGGTGTGTCAGGGAATGCGAAGAAACTCACTGAGTCCTTCACCTGGGAGAAAAACTGACCACACATTTGTTTCATGAAAGCAGGATCACAGCCAGCCTGACTGTAAAGTGCTGCAAGGATCGGGAGTGAGAAATACTCTACAAGACACAAGTTTATCTTGGGAATTAAGTCTAGACTCTAGAATACGTGTTATGATTTTGTTATATATATAAAACCCTTTGTTTCCGAAACTTCTACTTGCTGCTATTTGGATCTCTGTGCTTTGTTCAATTAACATCTACTCGTTTAAACTATAAATGTATCTAAGTGCTGTGTGTTAAGCGGAGCGGTGCTCTGAGGTGGAGCTGGTAACCTGGGCTGCACTGATCCTTTGGGTACGTCTTCACTTACCGGAGGGTCCGGCGGCAGACAACCGATGTTCTGGGATCGATCCCGGAAGTGCTCGCCGTCGACGCCGATACTCCAGCTCGGTGAGAGGAGTACGCGGCATCGACGGGGGAGCCTCTGTGCCGCGTCTGGACCTGCGGTAAGTTTGGACTAAGGTACTTCGAATTCAGCTACGTTATTAAC